TAAAATCATAAAAAAGAAGATCGATATCTGAAGAGAGCCAAGTTTCACAAACAGCAAATGCATCACAATCATTATTGTGAACTAAAAACTTAAAAGAATCTAATTTAGGAATGAGACTTCGACAATTGAACTGTAGAACAGTGATCAAATCCCCGACCTCGTTTGGAAAATTATCCATCGAAGGAAATGATTACTGCAATGAGGGGCCACTTCAATGTCAATTGCTTCAAGAGGGTCTTCACAGAAAGAAGCATTGCCAGAACAATGCTTTTGAGAGGATCAGAAATATTGAGGTACTTGAGAATATCGTCCACAATTTTATCAAATGAGAACAACCCGGATGAAGAAGGGGCTTCTGTTCTTAAAAATGGGCCATCAGGGGTTTTCGTTTCCGTGCAGAACCTTCCGGAAAACTGAAAGAAACTCCCTCCTCAGCCAAGTCAGAGTCAGACTCGTCATCAGAAAAAAAACAGCAAAGGGATTTTTGTCGTTGGTTGATGGTGTGGCTGTTTTTAGCATTGCTGCAAAAGACTGCCTGGAACGCTCCTTAAGAGAGCGTTCTAGTTTCTCCCCGCGTTGTTTGTACGCCGGGCACGACGAGAGACCATGAGGAGTTCCCTTACAGTACACGCATTTTGGTGCAGTGACTGTGCAGGCGCCATCCTCGTGCTTCTCCCCGCATTTGGAACAGCGTGCCTTGCTGCCACAGTGAGAGGAACCGAGGAACAAACAAACGCACAGGTAGCCGAAGTTTTTCCCAACTCGATGTAGTGAGGAAGAGCTGAACCAGAAAAGGTCACCCGAAACGAGTCTGTGGGGGTAAAGCTCTTTTTACTTTCGCTGAAAGATACTGAGTTCAGCTTCTGGACTTCCTGTATCTCAACCGTGGGAAGCAAGGGGTTCTTGAAAAGGCCAACCGCTTGCTTCCCCAAGATCTCGGGGGTCAGACTCGCTTCGGTGACCACACCTTCGATCTCCACATTACGAGCTGGGATGTACATTCTATACTCGAGTGTAAAGAGCTGGGAGGCAGCAATCTCGTTAGCTTGTTTCAGGTTAGAGACGACAACGCGAAGTTTATTGTACCTCACCTTCGAGATTTCGGTCACGGCCGAGAACCGCTTCGTCAGATCATAAGTAATTTGCATTACATTCAAAGGTTTCTTTTCGGCCTGAAAGTAAACAACCCATGGGCCAGTCGAGTCTTCTGGGTAGGCTCGCGGGCACCGCCGGGATGTTCTGAGGTATAACATCTCTGAAGGGAAGTAAAGCCATAGAGGTAACTCTAAGACTAGTAGGTCCGAAGAAACGAGCTCTACTTTTTGGCTCAGCTCTGGTACTATCTTCGGTCCCAAGCTAATCGCTTCACCCCTCGAAACATAGGAAATTCCACTAACCCCTCATTTTATTTGTCAAACTTTCATAGCGAATCAAAACAAACATTGGGTAGTACTAGAATATTGACTAGAATGGGGTACGTTAATCGATTTGCTTGGGACCAATAGGCTAGTCAAGTAGTGAGCCAATTTTTAAATCGATAGTTTCGTATTGATTGTTGGTAAAGCCGTTGGTCCCCGGTTCATGAGTTGATGGGTCGATAGGTAGGGTCCAGGTATGGGAGCTGCCTACCTGGCGTCGGTAGCATTGGTGCTCAGCACGGAAAACAAGATCGACGGAAAACAAATCAAGGAAAAAAAAAATCAAGTCTATATGGGAATTACTATGGGAAAACTTATGTTTTTGTTCATATCTATCTAACAATTCACTATGCTTTTCAAAATGATAGCAGTAATTGTAGCAAATTTTCTCAGCTACAACTTTGTTGAAAACCATGTTTCAATCACATTTAAGGAACAAAAGTTATTATGATTCAAGTGTCACTCGAGGTGACAATCTTCGAAAAATCTTCTTTCATTTGTCGCATCTACTTGCATCGTGCATCATTTTTTTGCAGGAAATCTTCAGAATCGTCATCAATCTTCTTTCTATCTACTCAGCGTGCGCGCAGCTAGCCACAGCAAAACGCAAACTTTTCTGCATCGTAGATAAAGTCGTCCACCTCGGGGTCACTGATGTCTTAGATTAAGCTCATTCAACTGTTCAGCAGGCAACATTGGTTTTTCTGGTGCAAACAATAGAGCACAGATATGATGGCTACTATGTCACACTGCAGAATACAGTGTTGCCCACGGAACAGCTGCTTGATCATTCCATAAGATTATCAATCTCTTAAACGTTCACCATGTTATCACAGAGCCACGATTATCGTTTGCAGACGATCTGAAAGTTTTTCTGCGCATCCGCTCACTCGCCGACTGCCGTTCTCTCCAAAATCAGATTGACATCTTTGCTGACTGGTGTAGTCTAAACCGACTGGTGGTCAACCCAGCTAAGTGTACAGTTATTACTTTCTCACGCAAGAAACAACCGATTATTTTCAACTACAAACTACTAGGCACGACTATCGAACGGGTGCACTGCGTGAAAGACTTAGGCGTTGTTCTAGACTCAAAGCTGACATACTCACACCATATATCGTATGTCGTCGACAAAGCGGCCAGAACGCTTGGCTTTGTCTTCAAGATTACTAAGAACTTCACGGACATTTACTGCTTGAAATCGCTCTATTGCTCTCTCGTACGATCTACGTTGGAATACTGCTCTGCTGTCTGGAGCCCGAACTACAATAATGGGGCCGAGCGAATTGAATCTGTTCAACGACGTTTTCTTCGCTTCGCGCTCCGTAAGCTGCCTTGGAGATACCCACTTCGTCTTCCAAGCTACGAGAATCGCTGCCAATTGATCAATATCGAGCCCTTACGTATCCGAAGAGATGTTTTCAGAGCCTTGACCGTCGCCGATACTCTGCAAGGAAGAAGCGACTGCGAAGAAATTCTGCAACAAGTGAACATTAATGTTCAACCTCGATCACTACGCAACAGTCTTATGCTGAGACTTCCACTTCTTCGAACTAATTATAGCATAGGGAGCGCTATTTACGGCTTGCAGTTAGTGTTCAACCGAGTAGCGTCGATGTTCGATTTCCACTTGACACGGAATATGCTTCGCCGAAGATTCTCTGCCTTTTTTGCTGACCGAAGGCGCTTGATACCCAACAGCTAAGTGTCTTATAAAGACTTATAAATTTTTAGTAACTTGACAATGCTTTCCAAGTTATTTTCGTTTGTAACTGTAGTAACTGTAGTATATGTATGTCGTCTGTATAATCTGTACTTTTTTACAACACATCATTGGGACTATTTCTAGTCTGTTGATGCAACCATAACAAATAAACAAATAAATAAAATAAACAAACAATTTAATTTGACATTTGGCTACAAAACAATATTCTACAAAGCTGTAGCTTATAAAATTTCCCGTAAGAATAGTAATTGAAATTTTCGAAAAAGCAATATGGAAAATGGGTAGAAGACAAAGAACAAAAAGTTTGGTTTTCCCATAGTAATTTCCATACAAACTTCGAATAGTTTGTGTCAATCTTGGTGTCAATACAGTTTCTTACCAAATGAGTTTAAATTTTAAGAGGCTAATCACCGTTTGAGCACTGTGGAGCGAAAATTTCAAACCACCCCTCACCATTCCTCTCCAAAGGGGGAGTTTGGTAAAGAGAGATGATAAAACCGATTTGTACCTTCCTAAAAGTTGTCTTAGCTCGCTGTCTACTCCTCCTCTATTAGCATCTTTAACTAAATAAAAACACTTTTTCGAGCATCACGCTCGATGGTTTACTTTATCCGCCTACTAAGGTTGAATGTTTCGACGGTTTCATAATTATAATTCTTAATTTGTTTTCAGTAGGTGGCAACACCTTTACTTGTGGTTCAAACTATGTGACTTCTGACCCTAATCAAAAAATACCATAAACAAACGATAACCCAAATGATTGAACTACTTCACAAATGGTTTGGATGATACCCCAAACACGTCGTTAAGCAAATTAACCATACAATTTTTATTAGGGGAGCTCTTTTGAATGTTTGGCTCCCGTTTGACAGTTTGACTCGGCGCCCAGATGACAAGCATTTTGAGTTAGTTCGCAGTACTCAGGTTTCCATGACATTTTGTCTGATGTTTACTTTTGACTCCTTTGTTCCAAACCAGCTGAATCCTCTTCTTTTGCCCCCTTTTTTGACGAGCTCACAGCTGGTCCTGTTTACATAACAAATCCAGCTGGTGAACCTGTTTTCGCGCGAAAATACGATGGAAAAGGTGAAATGGTAAGAGTTTTAAGAGCCATAGAAGATTTTGGGAGCTTCCACTTCGGGTCCACATTTCGTCGAGAAAATCTAAATATTCAAAGAATCCCCAATAATTTGATTAAATTTTAATCGTTGGTGGGTGGCACTACCTGCATTTACGGTAGTGTTATTGAAAACACCACCACGTTTTCAGTTCAATGGATTGATGTTGACAGCAGCATATTCACCACATTTAATTCCTCCTCATTCACGTTGCCTTCGAGAGTGAGCTGTGCCTGTGCGACGAATCAGCGAGCGAGCACGAGCAGCGCAGTTCTTGAGGTGAAGAGCGAGTGTGTGGTTTGTCTTCCTGGGCGTGCTCGTGTTGTTGCCTAGGATTTGGGCTAGTGTGTAGTTTTCTTCATTGTGAAATTGCTGTTCGTGGTTTAATCATTTTCCGGGTGTGAAATTGTTAATCTTCCAGCTTTATAGGCATCTTTGAAGGTTTTTCAAGACACAATGGAGATCGAGAGCATTAGGTAATTCGATTAAAAGAGTATATTAGGTATTCTGCATGCATAATCGGGGTCACCTGGGAAAGTGTATACGGCGGAGGCATAAAGCACTGGTGTTGGTTGACGACGGCCGACATATTTATTATTGAACGTGAATTTCATCAACCCGTTTCGCTAGCTACATATCACCACGGTTGTGCATAATTGGAAAAGATAACTGTTTTGTGGTTTTATCATGATTGTGATTTTCTTATGTATTTCTCTTTTTTTTCTTGCCTCGTTTCAGCTTGGCCGAGGAGAAGAAGAATGCTGGCAATGAGCTGTACAAGATCAAACAGTATAATGGAGCACTACAGCTATATTCGGAGGCCATCAACCTATGTCCGGACACTCCGGCATACTACGGGAACAGGGCCGCTACCTACATGATGATTGGCGACTACAAATCCGCTCTCAGGGACGCAAAGCATTCGGTCCAAATCGATGCCAATTTCGAGAAAGGCTATATGCGTATCGCCAAATGCTCCTTGCTAATGGGTAAGATTAGGGTTCTTTATCTATATTATAGATTTACTTTCTTAGGTGTTAGGTTTTTGTGTTAGCGGAAAGACGAACCCGTCAAATAATAAAGTAAATGTTAGGTTGACTGAAAATATGCGCATATGGCTGTTTATAAGTAGACTATTTTGATTTTTTCGAGCCAAAAATAAACACTCTCATAGCAAGTGCAGTCGTCTGCTTGCTGCTAGTACGGTAGAAAAATTTAATGTTACCTGCTTTTGAGTGGTTGTGCGACTATACACAGTAAGCCTGCGCCGATTTCTGTAATGTTTTCACGTGTGCCCACATACCTACTTGCCTTGTATATTTTTCTGTGTGAAGGCGGTAGTCAAATGAAAGATGCTTGACCTAGTTGAAAGTAATCAGGTTGTTCAGTGGTGTTGGTTTCGATCGGAACGTTGACACCGATATGTTAATCATGTTTTCTCACGTTTTTTTTACAGGTGATTTGATTGGTACCGAGCAGGCCATTAAGAAATTCCTGGAGTTGGATCCATCCAACCAAGCACTGAGGCCAGAGTTGATCAGTCTGAAGCAGCTGCGCGATCTCAATGAGAAAGTTGTCAATTGCTATGACAAAAAGGACTACCGGACATGCTTGTATCACTGTGATAATGCCATCAAGATTGCCCCTGCCAGCACACAGTACAGATTGCTGAAAGCAGAATGCTTGGCGCTTTTGGAGCGTTTCGAAGAAGCTGGAGACATTGCCATCAGCATTATGCAGTCCAATTCGACCAACGCGGATGCGATCTATGTGCGTGGATTGACGCTCTACTACAGCGATAATTTGGAAAAAGGTCTGTTGCACTTCGAGCGGGCCTTGCAGTTCGATCCGGATCACAAAAAGGCGAAAGCGATGCGTATCAAGGCCAAACAGCTGAAAGAACGCAAAGAGAAGGGTAACGAGCTGTTCAAGAGTGCGAAGTTCAAAGATGCGCAACTTGTCTATACGGAAGCACTGGCGCTGGATCCACTTAACAAGGAGATCAACAGCAAACTTTTTTACAACCGTGCGTTGGTAAATTCAAAACTCGGAAACATCAGAGACGCCATCAACGATTGCACCTGCGCTCTGGGTGTGAACGAAAGATACATGAAAGCACTGCTACACAGGGCAAAGCTACAATACAATTTGGAGAACTTTGATGAATGCGTTAAGGATTACGAAAAAGCTCTGAAATTCGAGAAGACTATGGAAATAAAGAACCTGCTCAAAGATGCTAAATTACAACTGAAGAAATCGAAGCGCAAGGATTACTACAAGATCTTGGGAATTACTAAACAGGCCACCGAAGAAGAGATTAAGAAAGCATACCGCAAACGAGCTCTAGTACATCACCCTGACCGTCACGCCAATGCCACGGAAGAGGAAAAGAAAGATCAGGAAAAGAAATTCAAAGAAGTTGGTGAAGCGTACACGATCCTCTCTGATGCGGTTAAAAAGTCCCGGTACGACAATGGTTATGATATTGAAGATCTGGATCAGTCAGGTATGACATAGATGAACCTTCACATTCGACCAAATATCTAAACATTTTTCTTTTTTTTTTCGCATTACCAGACGTTGACCCACAGCAAATGTTCCGACAGTTCTTCCAGTTCCCGGGTGGTGATTCGAACTTTGGAGGCTACGGAGGCGGCAACAATAATTTCACATTCCGTTTCGGTTAAGCACGGTCGGAGGAGTCCGGTAGAGTGTGGCTGTGCATCCGATCGGAATTAGCTGCGGCTGTTTTAGCATGAACACAAACTAGAACTATCGTTCTAAGGCCGACCATCCTATCCGTTTGTAGTCGATAGTGTAAAGTTGTATTTTTTAAGCTAATGTATTGACGTTTAAGAAAAGGTAATCGTTTGAACCAATCCGAATGTATCGCAAATTTTAAACAGGCAGAAATGGGAAGATTGAGGGGCGTTCTGGTATCGCCGTCTCTCTTCTCTGGGTGTGTCTGTCGGACTGTTTTCGCAGCAGAGCAGTGTTCTATTTTGATTTCGTTATTCCATTTGATGCAATCCGTTCTCGACTACTACTACTGGGTACACGGAAATTGCAAGTCTGTTGGAGAAACAAAAGCTAGATAAACTACATAACATCCTCTAAGTAGTAGGTAAGCAGAAAATGTAGTCGTGCAGTAGTAAGTTTTCCTGCAAATCAGAAGAAAAAAAAAAGTGGCGTGTACTCTCAGTTTACTTAACATTACTCAAGTGCAAAATAGAAGCATGTTGATTGATCACAACAATAAAACAAATAGTGTTATTCATAATGTATGCGAAAGAAAATAATCATTGGAGAGGGGTAAATGCTTTTGTATTTAAAATACGGTTGAAACGTACAGTATGGGTGATAATAAGATATTTAGGCATATTCTGCGCGGCGTGTCGCGACAATTGTCACCTTGGGTGAGGTGACTATCCATTTGATTTGCACGGAGACTCTCCTCACCTCACCCGAGGTGACAATTGTCACTTTACTGTCAGCTCACACACCACGCAGAATGGGCCTAATTTAAAATGATAGCAACTATTTGTAACCTATACAAGAGGTTGTGAAGTAATGGCGGTAAGCTCGAACTCGGATTAACTTTTAATACCGTCCCTGTTTGGATGATCTGCAAAGTGTTTGCTTAGAGTTTTGTTAATTAACTCTGATGTCGACATCAAAGCGGCCTGACATTCTTGATCGTGATTTAATCCGAGGATAATACCGATTGGAGCTTAGCACCATAAGTGTTTGACACTTAACACTTTACTTCCCAGAAGACTTTTGGTTGTTTTGAGATGCAAACATATATTTTTGAAAACATTGTTGGAAAACAAGATTTTTATTTTCTTTATTTAGGAGATTTTCAGCCGTAGGCTGGTTCATCTCCGAAAGCCCCTGAAGGGGACTCCCCTAGTAACGTAGTTTATACCCCGTTCACATTACAGCCTATATCACGTAATATAGGCTGTTTTGCAATGAACACTAATACATAGGATTTCCAGTTAAAACTAGATGTATGTGTGCTCATTGCAAGACAGCGTATATCACGTGATATACGCTGTAATGTGAACGGGGTATTAGATTTTTTCGGTGAACCCTGAGGGGTTTCTCCTGGGTATAGGTGTGCTTAGGGTGTTCCCTTGGTACATAGTGGTTTTTACAGAGTTTGTTAAAGTTTGTGTTTCGTGGTTGTTTGGCTTTGAATGATCTTTATTTCTTGTATTTGTTTGGTTTAGATGTATGAATTTTCAAGTGACACAGATGTGTCTTTACAACTTAAGTTATATTGAAATTTTTAAATATTATTTACTGTTCCTAGTTCTATCAGGCCTGTTAAAGTATGACCACCTTGGTGGGATTGGTTTTTTTTTAAATTGGAAAACGAGACTACTTACAACTACTATTTACAACTACAACTAATCTACAACTACTATATACACCTAACCTATTATATACAAATTGCTTATCAAAGCATGTTCTGATGTATTGCATTTCTGCACAAATTTGTTCCTAGTTTCGTTAATTTGAAAATCTACTTTCGGAATGTTAGCCTCTTGATGGAGGTCGGAAATGCGGGTATCGAAAGGATGATCAAGGATCATCCTCAATACCCTGTTCTGCGCTACCTGTATTTTGTTCCTGTGAGTTTGTGCACATGATTCCCACACCGGAGCTGCGTAGAAGATCGCAGGCGCAATGATTTGTTTGTAGACAGCCAGTTTGTTCACTCTAGAGAGACGAGATCTGCGGCAAATAAGCGGATACAAGCACCTAACTAGATTGGAACACTTAACTACTGCCCTATCTATGTGCGAGCGGAAAAGGAGCTTCTCGTCAAATAACATACCAAGATATGTTACTTCGGTGGACCACTCAACCCTTGTGCCATCCATTATTACAGTACAAGAGGGAGCCGGTTTTAGTTTGGGAGATTGTCGATGGAGGAACATTATTGATTGGGTTTTGGAAGCATTGATTTTGATTTTCCACGTGTTGGCATAATCAGCAAAGGCGTCAAGGCATCGTTGAAGCTTGTTTGTTATTTCACGAGGCCTCCTTCCCTTGACGGTTATGGCGGTATCATCTGCGAACAGGAAGAACACGCAACCGTTGCTCAAGGGAGGAATGTTGGAAGTGTAGATGCTGTATAGCAAAGGGCCCAGCAGACTTCCTTGCGGAACACCTGCTGGCAGGCATGTCTAAACGCAACACTACACTGCGAACTGCCTCTTTTACACACCACCAAGAGCTTTGAGTTGTACGCTCCGTACCAGTGCTCGATAGAAAACACCAAACGCAGCGAACAAGGCACCGGTACCGGTGCCCGTGCATAATTGTTTGCACCGGTGTATGGATCTTCGGCAAGCACCAAAGCCGAGTGTTTCTGACTTCGGCAAACACCGCAGCCGAGTGTTTTCGATTTCGGAAAACACGCTTGCTACTCACAGGAATTTTGTTTGGGGCGACTTATGAAAGATTATTTTATTACACAAGGTAATTGTTATACGCGACTAGAGCTAATATACGAGTGGTCAAAGCAATGGTCTCATAATGCCAATGTCCAAGGTTCGATTCTAATCTGCCACCTTTTTTTTTTAATTTTTTGTCAACATTATTTTCATAAGGTAAATTTTTAGATTGGCTAAAAAGCATAACGCAATCTTATGAATCTTATGAGCTCAAAGGATCATCTACCAGGATTATTAAAAATACGCAAATCACCCACTTCGAAAGAGCGTGTTTCGGTTGCCGTCCACCCACTGGTATTTCTTGGCTTTATGTTAACAAATTGAGCTGATTGTTTTCACACGATTTGAGTATATCTAACAATAATAACTTATATCCAACAACAACATAACAGCCTGATACGGAGCTAGTAGAAGGTATAGAATGCGATCCTTCTTGAGCGCGTTGTTTTTATTTAGGGGAAAACAGCCCAAAATGCACCTCGCGCAAATCGCTCGATGCGATTTTTCATAGCATTTTCGGTTTTAATTCATAAATTTGACAAGTCACAGTGCTAGTTTAGTACTTGAACTAGCATTTCGGCAAAATTAAGAGTGGAATAGCTATGAAAAATCAAATCGCGCGTTTGGCCCGGGGTGCAATTCGGGCTGTTCTACCCTACATGAATGGTGAGTAGTTCGGTTCACCCACCGCTATTTGGGTGTTTACATCTGTGCTGGTGTGCTGATGCTAGTGAACTAAAGCTGTACTTAAATGGTCAGCATAATGTAAACAGGGCGTCAGCATCTACCAGCATGAAATTTTAGGAGCCTCTGAAATTCGTGCTAGTTAGTTGAGTTGGTTGAGCTAGTGAACCAGCATATAATACATTATTTATTATCTTATAGTGAACCAGTATATAATAGGGGTATTCACAAAGCGCATCGTAAACGTATACACCTTCGTAAATGTGTAAACTTCCATTACACTCCAATTGACCCTGGTATTTTTACGATAGTGTATATGTTTACAATGCGCATAGTGAATACCCCTAATATATTACATATTATGTAAACCCCCTCTCTTCTATTATTCAATCAGTTGAGCTGTTTGTTTTTGTTGGAGATAAGTTATGATTATTAGGTTGACTCTAATCACATTAAATCAATCAGCTAAATTATTTAATATAAAGCCAAGAAATACCAGTGGGTGGACGGCAACAGCAACACGCTTTGCCGAAGTGGGTGATTTGTGTTTTTAAAAAAATCCTGGTAGATGATCCCTTGAGCTCTTAAGCTTTATAAGATTGCGTAATGCTTTTTCGCCAAAAGAAATCGAAATGAATTTCATAGATTCACCTTATGAAAAATGTTGACAGAAAAAAAAAGAATGGTGTCAGACTGGAATCGAACCATGGACATTGGCATTAAGGAAGTATTGCTTTGACCACTTATCTATCAGCTCTACTAGGAATGGAAGATGCTAAAGGCGTATAAGAGCTACGATAATGTTTCAGAAGTCACCCAAAGAAAATTCCTACGAGCACCAAGCGTGTTTTCCGAAATCGAAAACACTCGGCTGCGGTGTTTACCGAAGTCAGACACACTCGGCTTTGGTGCTTGCCGAAGATCCATACACCGGTGCAAACAATTATGCACGGGCACCGGTACCGGTGCCTTGTTCGCTGCGTTTGGTGTTTTCCATCGAGCACTGGTACGAAACGTAAAACCCAATGCTCTTGGTGGTGTGTTTGTAGACAAAACTGCCACCCGTGCAAAAGGGTTCAGTGTTTTTACCATGGCTGCCTGCTGGGATGGAAAAGGTGTTTGAATTGTAACCATTCAACGATACCTTGAACGACCTTTGCTGCAAGTAGTTTCGGGTGATTTTTACAAGATGTGGTGGAAAGTTGAAGTTACAAAGCTTGTACACAAGTCCGTCATGCCAAACATTGTCAAACGCTTTTTAAACGTCTAGCAATGCCATGGCTGTGGACTTGGATACAACTTTTTTACTTCGAATGTTATTCATCACCCGAACTAACTGGTGATTTGTGGAATGCCCTTTCCTAAACCCAAACTGTTCAGGTTGTTGTTCTCCTCGACAAACTTAAGCAAACGGCTGAGAATGATAGCGAATTCGTTTATTATTCAGTTCCAACCTGGATCGGGTATCAAGATTGGGTCTGCTTGTTTTCTGACAAACGTCAGTTTGCTCGTTTGTTTTAAAACCTAGCTCAGGTTGAGGTTCGCACTGACAAAAAGTTCGGTTTCGAGCTATGAGTTTCTCGAACAATTTGCTCAGCGCTGAAAGGAGGCTGATTGGTCTGTAGCTGGAAGGTATTGATGGATCCTTACCGGGTTTGCGGATTGGTATGATTTTTTATACCTTCCAGATACTTGGAAAGTAGTGCAGTTCTATTGAAGATAGCAGTCAAAAGCGAGTACACTTTCGTGCTTAGCTTCTTCAATACCAAGTTGAATATACCGTCAAACCCGGGAGCCTTCATGTTCTTGGTGTTTTTCAGCGCTGAGCAAATCTGCTCCACTGTAATATTTTCTGCCGGAGGGACGACACAAGGGGAGGCATCCAAGTTTTGTACACATTGTGAAACCTGATTTTCAAGCGGACTTTGGATGGCCAAGCAGATGAGACGAAGAAATGTGGTTGCCAATCGCATTTGCTTTCTCCTGCGGTGTGATTTTGAGCCGATCGACATCATTTTCGGCTCTAAGAGGTGGAACGGGTTTGGGATGAGTTTTCAGCACTTTGGCTACCTTCCAGAATGGACGGGAGCGGTCACACGCACGAAATTTTCGT